TACACTTGCTATTAATGTTATCAGTTCTATATTCCTCCCCCTCTTTTCGTTTTCCTTTCCAATGTCTGCATTTATCTTATTCATCTTTCTACGTCGTTTTCTTAGTTTTTTCTCTCATCTTCTCGTACGTTCAGTGGCACCATTTAAAAAGTAAAAGAATCTTCTCTATATTGATGGCTTCATCATCCGCCCTTACGAAGAGGCGATAGGTGACATTCTTAGAATACATCGGAAGCATAATTCCCTTTGAGCGAATTTCGAAGATGTCGATGTTCTCATGGTTTATGACGCCGTGTGGACTTGTAGGCAGATACCAGCGTTTCGGATCTTCAGCGCTGGTCAGAGTTTCGACGCCCGAAATAAGCACACCGACTTCATGGCCGTGATCTCACAAAAAAAATTACGAAGTGTATGCTTGTATTGTGTGAAAGCCATTTTGAATTTAAGCGTGATCTGTGAAAAGATATGTTTGAGTCATGTTCGACTAATTTCTCTCTTATCTAGTTTTTACTTACGATTTTCTGGGAGTTAACTTGTTCGCTATAGTTCTACAGCTCCGACGGTCTGTTGTTATGTCGGTCGCCTTGCCAATGCGGTGTACGTGAAGGAATGCAGTAAAACTGAAATCTGCCAGACAGTTCCCCTACCCAGTCGTGTGCCGTCTGGGTGAAAAGTCGACCAAATTATAGCGGCAGCTTTCAGCGTGTCTAATGTAACGTCACAGCTCTTGTACATGCCAAGGATTACATTACGGACGCAGTGAAAGGGAAGGAGTAGCGTTGGTGGTATTATTATTGATAATTCAATTCAATTAATTGTAATAATAATACATGTGACACATATTAAAATCAAAATGTATTTCGGAAATAGCTGCAGGGGAAAAGTTTGTCTCGGGTTTTATGTATTTAGTGTTCTGTCTGACGACAGGTCCATATGAACAGGATCCTTCCATCCTTTTCTCGGACTGGGACCTGTTCATATACGTTCTTGGCAGATGATCCAGAAGGGGTTTGCCATTGCCTTCTTCTGTGTGTGAAGGGAGTAATTGTTGGGATGCCACGGAAGAAAACTCCGCGTTGCCTAGACCACGGCCTTGCCCAACACAAGGGTAAAAATAAAATATAGAAATACAAAATATCCTACTAGTGGAGATTTTCATGACGTACTATTCGTGGTCACTGACCAGACAGCTATAATCTTGACGCTGTGTAGTGGAACGCGGGAGGAAACTGTGATGATCTGTGTTTGGTAATGGTGGTCTGAGTTTTGGAGCCATATAGACTCGTCGGTAGTTGCTTAAATTTCGGAGAAACATATTGTCTCCATCTTCAGGGTTGAAGTCTGACGACCAGTCTACACGGCACCAGACCCCAGAATATCACTATCCTCATCTCGTGAAATGCACAGATGTCTCACGTGTTACGCCATTGTCTGGTCATTTGCTTGAAGGAACTGAGGACAATTACAAAATAGTTAAGCCGGTTCTCAGCTGAGGTTTGAACCAGTGTCTCTTGAATAGCACAAGGTGATACTGATGTATAGAGGCACAGGGGCCTCGTAAAATAGTAAAATGAGAACATTCACGGCTGATGTTGGTATTAAACGTTTTATTGATTTATATTAAAACTGACGCTGGTTTGAAATTTCTTCTGAATCCTGTAGAAACTGAATTCCGTTTTTCTTAATTTCAGTGCAGGAATTCCTGCAATGTGACGTAGTTTACTTTCGGTTTCTCCTTCCGGCTTGTTATGGATGCTATTCACTCACGTCATATAATAGTTTATACCGCCGAAAGCTTATGTATATACTTTATTCTGTTTATTGATGTCACTACATATTTCTTGCGGTAGTTTATGACGTCTTAGAATATGCTTAACCAGCGATTACGTAATGTATTTTAACATGTTCAAGAGATCTGAAATTTTAAACCACGACACATTGTACATTGCTGGCTTCTGGGTTGTTGCGTCGTGCAGTCTGGTAGAAGTTCACCGACGTTTCAAATGACTTCGCTGCCTCCATCATCAGGGCGATGAATAATCTCTTATCATGACTAATAGTTTAGTAGGTTTTCTCACCCCCTCTAGGCAAATATTGTGATAATAGGCGAATATTTAAACAAACACCAACCCATTTCATTTCACAGCATTTGGAATTAAGCATCCATTCATACAGTGCGTTGCTAAATAAACAGACAATACACCATATTGATCTATGAATACTGAAATACTATCGACGCGGCTTGTAGCACGCATGGTTGACGTGAGAAATGCGTATAAATGTTTGGTTGGGAAGCCTGGCGGGAAGGTTGGGGTGTGAATTGTAACACTTGTCCTGTGTCAAAATATCTGACACATTTTGTAGATTTATACACGCTGGTACAGGACATGCGCTACGTTTTTGTAAGAGTTAAGGTTGACTTCTGTTTTCGTGCATATGTTTCGATACGGTGGTAGCAAAACGCATTGCTTCAACGCCAATAACGTCATAAGATACCCCCGCACTCGAACTGGAGCCAGTTCTATCCAATGTTTATCCTCAAGACCTGTTTTCCTGAGATCCGTCTGAATGTTACACTCTCATCTGCGCGAAAACTTTTTTTCTTCCAAAATCGTAAGTGAAACTGTAATTGCTTGGACTAGAACGAAATCATTTTTATAGCTAATTTAAGTGAATTGGAGTATGAAGGCAATAAACGGTCAGGGGAATTATGAACTTCACAACTGTGCAGTATGTTTTGTTACGTGGATATCTTAAAATTGATTAACGCAAATAGTGACTTTTTTTTATCACGCAAGGTATCTTATCTTTGTATCTTGTCTTTTCCCAGAAGATTATTTGGACTTCTTGGTCGAGTACGTGGTATCTTAGCTTACTCATACAATTCCACGTGTGTGGAGTTAGTAACATATTACGACGTTCTTTGTTTTCAACTCTATCTATCTACTGTCTTTTAAGTATTAAAAAAATCTTTAAAATTTACTACGTTTATATTGTTTAAATCTTGTCCGTCTAATCACAATAAATTCTTATTAAATATTAAAATATTACAATAATTAACATTTAAAATATTTAAAATATTAAATGATGTTCTTTATCGAAATATTCGATGGTCTAATGCAAATCGAATATTTCGATAAAGAACATCATTTAATATTTTAAATATTTTAAATGTTAATTATTGTAATATTTTAATATTTAATAAGAATTTATTGTGATTAGACGGACAAAATTTAATATATACTTATTATATCACAATATGACGCAACTTTACCATCTCATGAAGTATTATATTGAAAATGTGGCAAATTGTCAAAAAAATCGGGACTTTGAAGACGAATTAAATCGAGTTTATTAAGAAATTATAAGTAAATTGTAGTCGGATATCGTTTCCTGAACTACAGTTCACAATCATATGTATTTCCGACTGCAAATTAAAGCGAAATTATTGAAGTGTTACTACGTTTCAAAAGATGGATCTTCCTACGTCTTCAACTCGAAAGGTGGAGACAAATTTTGGATCTGGTATGCCCACCTGTTTTCGATCTGTGGTCCAGATGTCTCCATCCATTTTCTACCTCAAGACGAGGGAAGATTCATCCTTCGAAACTTAGAAATGTTTTAATTATTTTTAAAGAGTACTTAAAAACGACAACAGATAAATTAAATATTTATTTAATTATAAAGAAAGTTTTAATATAACATCACCAGACATTGGGATATAAAGTTATATTGTTTAATTATAAACTTTTTTGTTATGCTTGAATTTTTCTTTTAATTTAATATGAAACTTACATTGTTTTCTACTTGTAACAATTGAAACAATACTTTTTGGTCATGTACTTAGCGTATGGAATCTCGTTGTGGAATAAGATGCCCCATTGATATACTTGCTGTCCTCTGCACGTTGTGGACTGTCAGTGAATGTGTAGACCTACATAATGAAGAAGGAAAAGTTACGGTGACGTAACATTTACTTATCTGCCAAGTGACTCTTCTGGAATTGTGCTTTTAATCCTTACTGAGATGTGGCAACAAAGTGTGTTAATTAGTGTCGTCGCCTCGATCCCGGATTGACCAGAGAAAGGATCTCTAAGATCTAAATGTTGTGGTGTGAACAGAACCTAGTTGTACAAACTCATCATGGATCTGTGTTAATTTACTTTGCAGCATTTGTGACAAAAGTTATTTCAGCATTAGTGGACATGGACTAAAGAATTAAAAGCTGTAATGAAACCTACAGAACACCAAGGAACGTTCTTTTACAGTTTCAACGCTTTACTGTGGCTTTTGTGAAAAAGGGAAAATAATGACGTCATTCTTTACAGAAACGCCTCGTAGGCTAGAGTTTACAAAAGAGTGTAGGTTGAGTGTTTAATGTCTGTATGCAACAAGAAAGGCACAAGTAACACACACCATTACGTCATTTCATCCAAGTATATTTTCCTTCCTTTCTTACCGCGTACGGACAATGCAAAGGACGTTTGAATTGGGAATGATTTCATATGCATACATTTACTCAGTACGTGAATACTTCTGGTGTAATCCCAGCTTATTGCAGTAGTGCGATCTGTTACAAGTTTAATGAACACGATTCGAAATGTTAAAGATTTCTATCAGTGGCAGATGATGAAAATGTTTCTGTAAGTTAATATTGTAATTATTCTTTATCACAAGAAAGTTTGCAGAGCTATAAGCATGTGTCAGTCCTCACTAATTTGTTCGTGTATCCGGAATTTCGGAATTTCGCACGTCACAGCAGACGAGACTTACACGCACAATTTGGCATAAAAAGACTTGACGATTTTACGCATGGTTGGTGGGTAAACAGATGTCAAATTATCTTCGTACTTAAGACGATAGTTTTACGCGAAGCCTTAAATTAAATTTTAATTACTTGGGAACTGTGAAATTTGTGCCAGAATTTAGAAAAATTGTTTTGTAAGTTATTTGCTATTCTAAACACAGAATTGTCCATCGCTTCTTTATAATTGTTTTAGGTTTTTATAAGGACTGTTATATTTTTATTCAAACACAAGCGTAACGTTTGCAAGAAAGAGGGACACAAGTTTAGTACACATCAAAGTCGTCATGAAACGCATCAGAGGAACATACATCACTGTGCAATGAATTAATTTTTGGTATCAAAGAAACATCTGAAATAAAAACATTTATCAAACCGCATTTGGTTATCGTCTTTCCCGTTTAAAGGAATGTGCGTCAAAATTTGATATTAAAATATCTGGTGTTGTTTTATTAAATTGTGACATCTTTGTGATGAACGTCTTAAGATTCTGTGTGATCTGGCTGCATGTTTTGGGTCAATATCACTTTTGCCTGATCGAACAGACACCTTACATTAACACTATTATCTAATCTCTCAAAATAGTAAACATATATTTGTGTTGTAGTCTCTAAATATAGAGATAATCGCGTGTGAGTTCAAGAGTGCGCGGAGGATTGTAAAGTTTCGTTCACTGAATCTCCCAACATGACTTCTGACGTAAGAAGTCCGACACCACCGCCTCCACCGACGTCTTCTGGCAGCGTGCAAAGCCAGACGCCCGTAAGGCCTCGGACGCTTATGGAGACGCTTCTGGTGGCGAAGATGGAAAAGGCCGGAGCGTGCCTGACGTCGACTTCGCCGCCGTCGACTCTGCCACCGGCCCTGTTGCTCCGGACGGACTCCACAGACTCGGCTAGCTCTCTGTCGTCTACATCCAGTGACGTGTGTCGATGTGACGACTGTCTCTTGGGGATAGCGGACCTCTACGTCACCAGTCCCGAGGAGGAGGCGCGCGGCAGGAAAAAGGTAGGACGACTCTCAGTATTAACCTTCAGTGCAGCTGTCTTTGGTTTGGACACAGAACCGCAGGTCTGTCGGTTCTGACAAAATCGACGTTTCCTCCTTTTTTTAACGGAAGACGAAGGAAGATGTATCCTTCGCAACGCGGTAATTATTATGGGTTTAAGATATTGAGTAACAGGCGATGGATAAAGTCCAAAACAAAGAAATAAGTAACAGAATACCATCGCCGAAGACATTCAGAGAAGGCCTACATTTAAAATACATAAAAGCTCCCTCTCATTTTTATAAGCTTGAAACTTGGGCGGTACGCTCATGGCCATGTACTGCCGGAGTTAAGAATGTGTGGAGCTTTACCTCCATTTCTACATGCGTATTCACTTAATAATTTAGATTTGAAGAATTTGAATTTAAATTTTGTTACGGGTCTTCCGCTAGGTTTAAATAATAGTGACATATTTAAAGTCACATAGAAATATATACATTTTTGTAAGACTTGAGGTTCTCACAGCGGTGATTATGAAGATTTCTGTCTTCTGGGTTGTTGCGCTGTGTAGTCTGGTCGATGTTAACCAACGTTTCAGAGGTCATACTGCCTCCGTCATCAGGGCGATGAGTATGAAGATTTCTGTCTTCTGGGTTGTTGCGCTGTGTAGTCTGGTCGATGTTAACCAACGTTTCAGAGGTCATACTGCCTCCATCATCAGGGCGATGAAGATTTCTGTCTTCTGGGTTGTTGCGCTGTGTAGTCTGGTCGATGTT